TACTTAAGTATTTTTAAGGACTTTACTGTCTCTTTACTGGATTTTGTTAAGTTTACCTGAGATTTAGTTTTTTTTCTAGCTGCATTTGGACTAACTTTTATGTCTTTTAATTCATTACAGCACGTAGTTAGCATGATATCATACACTGTATGTAACAATCAAAAGCATATTTCAGACCTTTTTCCAATGTTCTAATCTTCAAACGAGTCAGCAAAAACTATAAAAAATGAGCCAGAGATTACATTTCTACTCAGCTCATACAGTTAACATTAAATAGCAACAGCTGTAATTTCAGCGGACAAAAGTGGCTAAAAATTGAAGCCTGCTTTTGTCAACTTCAATAAAGGACAAAAATAACTTTGAATTTGGAATGGTAAATCTTCCACCGCTGTCCCTGTAAACTGTCTGCGTACCGTGCTAGAATTCAAAGCTTGACAGGCATAGCAAGAGTAACAAAGAGGATGAAATTGAAAATTATACCATTAATCAGTCATTAATCTGACTATGGTATGCCTTATCATTCCTTTTTTTTGTTTTCTGTCATCAGTTTGTTCCACCCTGAGTATTACATCTGAAAATATTACAATAAAACTTGTATGTTATTATTGCTGGTGTCTGATAATATATCAGTTACAGTCATTTTAATGGCAGGTCAAACATGTCTGACCACGACCATACAAAGATAATATTGTATTTGTGCCTTTGTCCCTTTTGCTGTACCACTGTGACAGCTCTGCTTAATTAATTATCTCTGTGCTGGACAATGTGTTGTGGTTGTTCCTCTGGAGGGAGAGGGGGTAATGTGGAAAATATGCAGAAAATGTATTTGGGTTGACTGTCCGGCTATTAATAATGATTGTGTTTGGATAAATAGTGCCCTACTTTCAGAATCTGTGGATCTAAATATTCCCAATAGGCTGCTTCCCTCTTGTATTGATTGATTGGTATAGTGTTTAAAGGTCATAGTCATAAAACATCAGGATGTAATTAACACACTGTGATTTTTAACCAGTGGTTAATGTATTTTGTGTTGACTTTTTAAGTTATAGCTTCCTTCTCAGTCCAGTGTTTGGATTACCACATGTTATATGAATTTAAGATTTAGTGCAGAGGAAAAGTAATTTCTGACGAGACAGTTTTCCTTACCAGAAAGGGACAGGTAGGTCTGCCAGGACTGTGATACATATCGTCATATAGTGTGTTTTTAATCATGGTTTCCTTCAGTAAACATATGGACTATTGTGTCTCCTTTTCCTCATGACCACTAGCCTCCAAAATGCTAAAAACCTGCATAGATTCCATGCAGTCACATGGACACAGGACAGATGTGATGGCCTGTCGCCTTATGGTTAGTTTATTCAGCTTCTTCGCAGATACTTCATTTGGCTGAGGCAATACAATAAGCATACTGAGCTGCTTTTAACCGGATTCAAACTGGCTTGGCCTTGATATGACTAAAAGCTGAGGTCCCACTGATGGATGGGACACTAACAGCTTAATTTAAAAGCCAGTTTCAATATTGTCACTAAAATGTGCTCAATTGCTTCCAGTCGTCCAAACCTTGAGGACTGACCACCACATTTAGTACCATTTTTAATAGCTTGTGCAATTAAGGTCCATTCCTAAATAGCAAAAAAAACCTTCACTGTGTGGCAACACATTCACTGTGTTGTTATCTTAGGAGTTGAGTCTATTCACATTTCCTCTAAGATTAAAAACACGTGTTTTGGTTTGTGAAGACATTTATCTGAATGTCTGAGCTTTCTTTGGCAAAAAGGATGGAATAAGCTTACAGTTTTTTCTCTTTCTCTCTCACAGCCTTTGCACCAGCAGAGACGGAAGAAACTGGTTTTCATTATGAAACCAAATGCCAAAATGATATACCAAATTCAACATTAGCTTTTGATTTATTCTGTATATATATGAATGTAATAATTCAGTTGATAAAACTTCAAATGTGATCATCTTTTTAAATGTAATGACCTGACTGTGAACCTGATCTGCACCTTCAACTTGTCAAGAGTAGGCTGCAGCCATCGATTATTTTATTAATCGAGTATACCAATTCTTCCATTGATTAAACAAGTAATCAGATAATAAATATTTTGCTTTGTTGAAGTCATTATAGAAAAGAGAAAATGAGATTGTCAAGTGAACAGTTAGCTAGTAGAAGCTATGAGTCAGGTTAAAGATTTAAGATAAATTGGAGGTCTACCAAATACGTTTCAGAGCTGCGGAGCTACAAACTGCACGTGATCAGATGATTGATCGCGTTTTCTCGTGTGATATTTTTCTGCGGAGGAATAGTGAGTTGTAGTTGCTAACTAGCTAGCTGTTACACAGTGAAGCTTTTACATCGTAGTGGGCTAGTTTGGTTTTACAATAGAAATACTGTACATAGTTTTCATTTTGTTTCAGCTTGAAATTATCCCAAACCTTGGAAAACTTCTGTCGTTTTCTCTGGGCTTTGTTTTCACACCTCACTTCTCCCCCTGTTTTTGGGAGCTGAAGATAAAACAGAAAGGGGGTAGAGAGAGAGGGGATGACATGAAGCAAAGGGCCACAGGTCAGATTTGAACCGACGGCCGTTGCAGCAAGGACTGGGTACATGGGGCGCCAGCTCTACCAGCATCAGTGATTTGTTTGTCATTTTTTAGAATCATTTCATCCCTAGTCAAGAGTAATAGTAAAATCAACTAGAATGTTTAAAATGTTTTTTCTGAAAAGACTAGATTCGTTTGAAAAATAAGCTATTTTACTGACTTGTGTGGCTACAGTGGTTCAAACCCATTTGGCTGTAATGTTTATCTGACAATCCTTACTATGCATTTATAACAAGAGTCTGTAATCTAAAAACACAAAAAGGTGTTTGGTTTGCATTTGGCTGCACCGCTGTTCCATCATGGGAAGGAAAAATCACCACAAAAGAACCCGATATGAGTAGAAACCACAACCCAGTAATTTAATCAGAGCGACCAAAATCAAAGGAGGCAAAAGTTCAGGATCTGAATGCAATGAAATGTATCAGTTCCTTAGAACCTACTGACATAGCTCACTTGTGGAGGAGCAAGCCTAGACAGAAAAGGCTGAGTAATGAAGATGGATGCATTCTGTTATCAGGCAGCCACTTACTGGGGCCTGATGTAACCTTAAACATTGAGGATAGCTCAGTTGCACAAAGAATCTAATTAATGAATAGCAGCCATGAAAGAGGACAAGGCAAGTGTGCATTTGCAGATGAATTCCAGACACTAATCAAACGCTGTTCAAGTGGTTTGGTTTGTCTCCAGAGCAAGGCGATATTTGGCGAGGATTTAAGGCAGTGTTTGCACACTGCCTTGATGACTGCATGCGTGCTTCAGTGTTTTTATGTATGTATGTGCCTGTGTGAGTATTTATGTTGTTGTTTTTTTATTTATGTTTGACTGTTGTAGTCGTTTATACAGTTTTAGTGCCAAGCCAGAGGTACAAAGAAAGACTGCATGTACAGAACAGGTGTGAGGTTGCATTATTGAGTTTATTCCAACAATAGGGGTTTGTTTACTCCATTATGGGGTCACACTACAATTACTTGGATTTACTATATGGGGAAAACGTGTCCTGTTTTACTCCACTGTAGCTCAGTGTATATTGTTTAAAGCTGGAAAAAAACTACACAATGTTAAACCTAATGGCCTCTATATAGTTGTGTCAAACAGCAGGTCACCACCACCAGTCAGGGCACATTATCTTGTAATTTTAGGGTTTTAGGGGTGCAAAAATCTTGCCTTAAACCAGTAGGAAATGATTTAATGTGCTATGCCTGAACATTGCCAAAGTTGGACATTAATTAGGCCAAATCCTTTTACAGTTGGTAAAGATTTTAACAAGTCTGCTGGCTCCAGACCTCTGAATCGCTGCTCACATCTCCTACTTGTTCAGTGATTTAAATAAGTCAGGTGTTGTGCCCATTAATGGCTATTTCAGCCAGCTGGAGAAATAGTCTTAAGAATGGTTAAGTCATCTTCCTACATATGTAGGTACCTAGAGCTACATCCATTAAAACTAACATCAGAAAATAATCACTACAAGCCTGGATGAGATTGACACAGCCGTACAGGTTGGTGTAATTTACAGAAATAACAACACTTTAATCTTTATTTCTTCTGCCTTTGCAAATCGACATAGCGGATACAACAAAATAAAAATAAAACAGCCCCCATTCCTAACCATGAATCAGCAAACATTAGCACAACGTCAAGCTAAATGTCTGAAGTGAAAGGATGGGTCACACAGGAGCAAATTCACATCTTCTCTCCATGTGTAGATCAACTCAGGGGAACTTTGAAGTCACAGGCTCCACCAATAGCAAAGAAGAACTGTGTGCATTCACCTCGACAGGCGATGGTCACTCCACTGCATTCACATTGCTATCTAACATGGCTAGAACTAAATGCTAATATCGGCATTAGACCTAATTGATTCATTTAAATGTAGGTTTTAAAACGTTACAAATGTTATGTGTGTTGATATACAGCTGGACAGAACGTGCAGAATCATTTTCCCATTGTATCCTATATGAGAGGAAGGGGCCCCAGTGAGAGACACTACAGATACAGTGCTGTTTCACATTGCTAAAGATGCCAAAATGGTGTCTTTTGTCGTTTGTTTTTAGGAAAAAAAAGACTAAAATCTTAAATCGGTTTTATCAGACCATATCTCTCAGCCCTAATCAGCATGCTAACATGCTAGAATTAGCAACGGTCATCGTCGTCATACAGCGACAGTGTTAAAATGTGGACGTCTGGCATTGAATGTTCCCTGTCTTAGTTTAGAATGTAATATGCTAACATTTGCTTATTGGGGATGATAGGAATGTCATTTGTTTTGAAGGTATTTGGTCATAAACTAAAGCATTGAATGAAGACTGGAGCCATTTTGATGAATGTTGAGGTTTTTCAGTGCTTACTGTGCCTGTGTGGTGATGTGATGGGTCTTGCTTTGCTCTTCCTCTTGTCCAGTACCAGCTCCAGAGGAGTTCTCCGTGGCGCTCAGTGACCTTCCGGTGGCAGACGTGGCTTGTGCTGATCACTGCGTTTGTTTTGCTGGGTCTGGTGCCTTATGTTGTTCACTGCATGATGACTGCCTTCACCAAACCTCCTCCTCCCAGCACCTTTAAATTGGCAGCAGTCTCTTTTGGCCTGCTGACAGAGATCCTGCTGATCAAGTGAGTATTTTATTTTTTACTCTGTATTTATTAACCCTCATATCTGTACTTCTTTAGATTCGAGGTACCCTTGGTCTGAACTTCGCATAACACGCCAAACACAGTTTGAATATTAATGATTAAAATGATGGTGACGGTCTCTCCACTCTGCTTGTAGTCTGGTCTTCTATGTGTTTTCATCTGCCAAATACAAACAGTATTTCCAAGTAACATTTCATTTTTATGTGAGTTTCAAAACAAAAAGCGGTAAGTGTCAGCACCATCCAAATAATCGTCTCTGAAAACAGGCTGTTGTCCGACCCCCAACACCACCCCACCTCTCTTGTTTTCACTTAGTCTTCTTTCCCATTTTGATATTGCTAATTGGAATGATGCCTGCGGTACTGTAAACCATTAGTAAATGAACAGTCTGTTTTTATCAACATCTAGCTTGTAAATAATGCATTAGATTCCTGGCATAAACAATATCTACTCTGTGATTAGAAAGCAACATATGGCCGATACTGTAATCAGATTACAAATACATTTTATGTAATCTGTAATTGCCTAAAGCAGTAATTCAATCAGGCTGCAAATTTCTAAAAAATACTTACTGGATTACTTAGAAAAAAGAGAAATAACAGCCCTAATAGTATGTTTGAAAATAAAAACACACTTTTAATGTGACTTTCCTGAATGACCTTAATCAGCTGAATGCTGGGATTTCGACAAACTCCCCTGCTAAATACATTTCATTGTAAAATATGATGGTAGTAGAAGTAATGTAACCCTCCAATCACCATAAACTGCTTTTCGTGCCAGTAGCCAAATTAAAACTTGGTGTTCTACATCTGTCCTTCCTCCAGTATTTGTCTTAACTAAAATAAGAGGCTGTTTGTAATTAACTCAACAAGGCTCGTAACTTTTTTTTCTCCCCATTAGATGCATTTGCAAGGAATGTGGCTAGTGAACTGGTAATTAATAAATATGGTTGCACTGGTAATGTGCTTCTGCATCATTATGTTGTTGAAGCCCTTATCCACGCTAGTAATGAGATGTAATTTTATGACAGGAAATTGGTTTGTTTACAACACACGAAGCAGCTTCAGACGAGCTACATTCTTGGCAGATCTCGGCTGCAGGTATTTGTTCATTGTTTGAGCTGAAAGAGGTTCAAATATGTTGTTATGCTAAGAGTTATACTGTTAAAACAGTAACACTTTGTTAATGTGCAGGAATCATTCAGAATAGCTTAACATTACATATTTATGTTGTTTTGAAGCTTCAAAGCCCAAATCCTAAATGAATACACGCAAAGCATTCCTTAGATTATTGGTACTGTATGTTATATGGAGCAGAAACAACCATTATATACTGTACATAAACAGTACCTGTCTGCTTAGCATGCAACATACAACAGTGGAGGCATCCCACTGCACCAAACAGGTTTTCTGCCACTGGATGCTTACATTATTACTGGTACAGGAGGATGATTGGTGGTTGCCCTTATTAGGATTGGTGGGCCTCACAAACCCGTGCCCCATGGTGCTTGTGCTGCCTGGGATGTGCCAGCCTCCTGCTGCCCCCTGTCAGGGTGCATCTCAGTCACTCTTCACCCCGAGGGTGGAAGTCCTTGTAAGGAGCAACCCCCTCGTCCCTCGCCCACCACATGGCCTGCTAGTCTTTGCAACAGGGATGAGACAAAGATAAACGAGTAAACAGTTCAGAGTGACCTTTTATTATTACCTACAGTATGTGTTGATTTACACTGACTAAAGTGTAAGTAAGTTATTAGCAGGGGGCTAAAGTATTTTATTACCTTCCCAGTGACTGATCCCGTCTTTGGTACCTGTTGTCAGTTGCCATGCCAACACTTTTGTTTAGTTTGCAAAGCAGTTAAATATTAAACTTTTTTCTTTATTGTCCACTTCTAAATACATTTGATGAAATATGTTAATTGAGATAGTAATGAGAAGTAATGGTCATTTTGTCAATTAGTTTAATGCTTTTTATCTCCCTCTTTTTAGGGATAACGTACCTAAAATTATTTTATTGTTGACAAATCCCACGAAAAGACCAAAACTAACAAACAAAGCCTAATATATCCTATCCCTCTGTGCCACAGAACCCCATTGTTATTAAAAACACATCAATGAGCCACACTGTTGCACTGTAGTTTATTTTGACTTAGTCCAACATACTGCTGTTGTAAATACTCACCACAGCACCAAATATGTATTAATCCACAGATGAAAATAGTCCCCAACAAATGCATTATTATAAAAACTACAGTGCCCAGCTGTTTTCACTGAAATTTTACTGAGCCTTTTAGTGAGCCATTTTAAACAATTGACCAATGGGCTTCATTGAATTTGCTGACAATAAGAAAAATATTGAATAAAGTCAGACTAATTGTAAACAGTAATTAGTATGTTTCTGTTCAGTTTTGTGTCTTTCTTTAATTAAAAACCAAAGTAAACTGTACTGCTATTATATTCTAAGTCGTTTTCTCATTAGACAGGAGACGCAAGAAAAGAAAAGAGAGCACAGCAGCTTTGGGGTCAAGTGCTAAAAGCTACATATTAATGTGAAAGGAGCATCACAGACTACTCGAAAACTTCTTTCAGATCAGTCCTTCTCATTTCAGTCCAATTCTGGCGCACTCTGGCTTCTTTTCGACATTTTAAAACTCCAAAATCATCTTTTTTGCCTCCTCCTCGCGCTGCAGGTCTGTTATTGGACACATTCACAAAGTCACATGACATTTGTCAGGCTTGAACTGCCTTTCAGAAGGCTGTCACACAATATGCACCCTCTCCTTCCTTTACTGTCATGGTGAGAGTTGGGGCGCTGCGACAGTGCCCTGACCACGCAGCTCTGCACTGTGAATTTTTATATGCCATTGCCTGGAGGTTAGAAACTCTCATTATGCCGTGTTAGATTTATTAAAATAGATTATGGAAATGTTAATTAAGTCATTAATTACATTATTTAAGCAGCATTGACAGATAAGGGTGTGTGTATGTGTGTGTGTGTGTGTGTGTGTGTGAGTGTGTGTGTGTGTGTAAGGGGGGTGTCGAGCTCCCTGGGTGGTTTAAAAGGATGTGATTGGTGACAAGGGACACTGTGGAGATGGCGTCTAACCGCTAGCGCTGACATGATACAAAGTGGCCTACACTGCTCTCTCACCTCACGCTACTGTCTACAGCGGTTTGTAGAGCTGCCTGAGGACGGGTAGCTCATCGCCCTTTTGCAGATATAAGTGTACACGAGGGTACAAATGTGCTTTTTTTTTGATGTAGCAACTACACATAAGCTAAGAGAACTTAGGCCCAGAGAGAGCAGAGCAGTAAAATAAAGTATTTGCATTGTGCTTTACATTTTCCTTTGTGTGAGCATTTGGACGAAGCATTTGCTGTGACATTTGAGCAAAGGCCTCAAACCATATTTCCAAGTTGTTCCAAAGGAAAACACAGCAGCACAATTGTGAGATGAATTACCCAGGAGTTGATACTATGGACTCTCTTATCTGTTGACAGTTTAGTTACCACGAAGCACAAGAAATGTGTTTTCCAATTCTCTGAGAATTGAGCTTTTCTTTGTCCCATCAAACCTATATTAAGGGAGGGAAAATTGCTCTGATCACACTTGATAAGAACAAATGATAGATGTTGTAAACAAGCAGAATGCTTCAATTCTGATCTGAGACATCGATTTGCCTCAGCAGCCAATTACTATGTGGACTGAGGTTATGTGTTCAGTCAATCTGCTGGGAGAGGGATTTTGTGTTTGCCGTCCAGTGTATTCCTTTTTTACCAAACAGTTTCTAAAAAAGTTAAACCGCTGAATTAAAATGTATTATTAAAGTACAGGTGGAAATAATGAGCATCAGTCTTGATTCCTCAGGTCCTCCATCAGGTTTCCAGGCACTACTGGAAGGTGTGTGTCTTGATATTAAGTGGCTGCTGATTGTAGGAAATGATACGGTATGAGGCTGTCCAACCACCTCGGAGTCAGGCCATCATGATTAGCTCCTACATCAGTCAAATGAACCTCATGATAACTAAGTCATTGCTGTAATAGTTACTATGCACCAACATGAAGAATCACATGATAGCACTCAGCACCCCTGCAAGACTCAAACATGCATATTTGTCTTATGTGATAGCAGATGAGAGAACAAAGTACCACACTACGCCTTTTGGAAGGCCTCGATGTTTTTGTTTAGTTTTATCATTTGTGTTTTAGGTATAAAAGTTTTACTGTAGAACAAAATGTATGCACATGTGCTCGTTACTTCTTGAACATTGCCCACAGCGTGACTTGGTAGAGGTACTTGGCCAGTCACCAGACAGCGATATACTGTAACAACCCTGTCTCCTAAGAAGACGTCCATATACAACACATTTACATCAGCAAATGTGTTTATGTTTTTATAAATGTAAAAAAGAAAAATATCTGCAAGAGTCTGTTCACTGTCCCTGCAAAATGTTCATTCATTCATCATTCATTTCCTACTATATGTGCTCCCAGCAACTTATTATGTTTAGGGAAGTTAGGGAATGGTTGCGGCCTGTATGCGGTTATATATTTTAAAACCCTGGGTTGAAGCAAGAGATGAGACAATTAAAACAATGTCAGTTCAATATTTAGTAGTAGTAGTTTGACATTTTGGGAAAATAGATGAGAGGAGCGATAGCAGGTTAGTAGAGTAGACATATTTTCTAGGAGATAAGGTTGAATAAAATGTATACTTTTACTACATTGTTGCAGGTTCTTATCTTTACCGGTCTGTATGTTTTAGATCATATTAGGAGGCCAAGCAGCAGCCTGGATTCTGCAGGAGTTTCCCACATACTCTAAAGACTCGGTTAATAGGAGGAGGGGGACTTAATAATGAGATTAGGATTATGTTATTATACTAACAGAGCTATTTGGGATGAGTGTGAATGTAGCTAATTGGACCTGCATGACAGAAATATGTGGGATGAAGCAGTCAGACCATGAGTCCCGGAGTCTGTTCTTTCCTAATCTTTGTACTTCGGTGGTGTTTTCTCAGGTGTCTGTCCAGCTACCTCAGCAGTCGTTACCGGCAGGCTGAGCAGAGCTCCTTCACAGTCCAGGCCAGAGGCTCTGAAGAGGACAGAACGAGCCCGGGCTGTCTGGATCGCTCTGAGGCCGCTTCAGCTGCGGCAGGTCACGCTTCATCAACGGCCTCACCCAGTCAAGTGGACGAAGGGAAAGTGGATGTGTTGAAGAGTGTACGTCTCGGTCTTTTCTGAACCACTAACAGAAGGAGTTCATCCTTTGGGTATTAGATCTTTCTAGCAGCCATTCAAGATATTACATCAGTTTATCAATGTGGCTTTTATGAAATGTTGCACTTTAAAACCTATTTTTCAGGTGTCAAATATTCTTGTTTTCCTCTATGTCAGACCCTTACACTCTCCCTTCATTCACTGGATATATTCTCACATATTGCAAATTGATCGCCACGAAGAGAATGCACGCAGCTTGCATGAGTGTGTTCAGGTTCAGAAAAAAAAGAGCCTGAAATCACTCTCTTTCCTTAATGATGTCCACACAGAGACAATGGGGCGCCGCTCTGATTAGTGTCACCTGTCTTTGTGCATCTCATCAGCTCCATTATGGCTCCATCTCCCATGCTTCTTCTGCTAATTGAATAGCATGTGAAGTGGTGACGAGGACGGGGGCGAGAGCAACGTCTGTCCCGCTGCTGCTTCGGAAATGAAAGTAAAGCTTCCCAGTGAGACACTACCGTTGTTCTTAAAACCTAAACCATTATCATACAGATAAAGAAAGTGCTAACAAGTAGCACTCGTGTTATATTACCATCATATCATCTATGGATTATGTTCATATATATAACAGCTTTGAATTAGCATCTGCTGTTGTTTTGAGGGGGATGCAGTGCCGCTGTATACATTGTGTCAGACAGAGCGTCCATATTGGACGCAGCAATAACATATTCACTCCCGGCTTTCAGGTGTATATTCCATACAGGAGCTGTGCATGGCACTACTTGCATATCTGTGTGGTAAATATACTGCAAGGCTATAGCCAGTAGCTGGTTAGCTTAGCTTAGCACGAAGACTGGAAACAAAGGGAAAAGGCTAGCCTTTCTTGGTCAAATGGTAATAAAGTCTAGTCCTAGCAGCACCTTTCTTTATTCAGGGGGTTATGTGCTGGATATGTCAAACTATTCCTTTAAAGTTGTTGTAAAGGTAAGGCTGGCATTATTCTGTATATCTTTTGTATTCTCAGCTAATCCCATGAAAAGATGATCGTGTTAGATTAATCCTGGAGGCATGGCTCTGCTGCCGACCATTGCCGACCACCTAACAATTGTTTGCTGAGTTTATGGTCCTTGTTTTATGTGGATTATCATACATTCACTGGGAGCGACTTTAACGAATTAAGCATGAAAGTGAATTATTCTTTACCTTACAGCGTTCCTGTTCCTGTTGCCTGGAAACTCTTGTCCAACCAGAGTTTCCAGGCAGCAGGAACTACACTCACACTGAGTGATGTTTTGGGCCTAAGTGAACAGGGGTACTACAGTAACCTACGATCCATAAGATGAAGGAAACAGTGTTCCGGAGGAGGCCTGAGATAATGATTATAAAGATGCAGCTGCAGATTCCCTTTACTTGTCATCACGCTGTCCAATGTGTGCTCCGTAAGCAATAAACTGGATGAACTCATGGCCAGAGTTGAATATGACAGTCTTATCTGTCTCACAGAGCCTTGGATCAAAGATAACACAACTCTTAAGAGGCTATACAACAATTAGCTCAGACAGAGATCAACATAAATCTGCAAAATCAATAGGAAGCAGCCTGTGTATCTAATTGGGAAAAATATTTTTGCATAGGCAAAGTGCAAACCTAAATTTTAACCATCTCTTGTAGAACTTTCCAATGCAAGATTTTGGCAAATCACTATAATTCTCGAGAACGTGGCTGGTCCAAATTATAATGCTGTGGTAGAGAGGCTAGTGGAGAGTAACCTTGACCCCCTCTCTTATTCTGCAGCTCAACCTGTTTTTATTCTTGGAGGTTGTAATACGAGTATTTACAAAAATCCTTCAGCACTATATAGACTGTCCTATTTGCTTTACCCGATCTTTGCTTTGGGAACATCCAAGATACCTCTAATGCTGTTAGCCGTCTACCCCTTGGGAAATGGGACCACATTGTTATTCACCTTCTGGTAAGTATGTAATGCCACACCTCCTGTGGGGTTATTCCAGTACTTGTTAAACACGCATAGTGCCTAAATCATAGAAGCTCACAATCATTAAGCCTGTGCCAAAAAGCCAAACAAAAGAATGCTGAAAGACTCTTGACCAATAACCATCTCTTCCATCCATCGTTCTATCTAACTTCCTGTGTGGCTGAGTATTTGGCCCAACAAAACACTCTTCAGATGTGGGGCAAAAGTAGCAGTTTGAAGATCAATGTTAATAAGACTAAAGAAATGATCATTTGTGCCAAGTAGGATTTCACAACAGAGCCTGTTGAAACAATTAAGGCTTTATTTTGACCCAAAGCAAACTTGGTGATTGCTAGAACAGTGGAAAGACAAACCAAGACGGTTTTAGTGAGTTTTATTGAGTTTCTGTTGTCAAATTTTGTCAGTGCAGCCTGGTGGCTTTGAACAGAGCGATAGAACGGCTGCTTCTTGGTAAACAAAAAGGAGCTTACTCTTTAACAAAAAGGTGTATCTCTGTATGGCTTTTTACATACTGTTGTCACACTTTTAAGAACAATCTGAGCCTATCAGTGGCAAAGACAAGCACTTTTAGTGGACGCACATTTACGGTGCATATTTGCTCATAAGGATTATGTTACAGCCAGCTTCACAACTGCCGGCTGCAGTCCTCTTGCTCAATACTGGACCAGTTTCAAAAATTGTTCTCCCCATTAGTCACTTAGACACAAAAATATGGGAAAATAAAGTCCAGGTTGAAAAATATCTAAGTGCAATCAGCATTTAAAACAAAAAAAAACAGAGCCACAAATCTTGCTCCGCTGTGTTCTGTGTTGTTTTAATGTTTTATGCTTTGTTTTAAGTATTGTATCTGTAGTTTTTACTTTTGTACTGCGTTTCCCCATTTGTTGTTATTGGTTTTATCTGTTCTCATGCTGCTTTTATATTTTGGCGAGCCAAAGACAATTTTCCATTCTGTTGGACAATAAAGTTGTATTCTATTCTATTCTACAAGACCAAAACCAAAAACAATGCGTCAGTCTGGCTTTCAATAGCTAATGACTACCCTGTCCTGTCTGTGGCTCTCAGCCCCAAGCCCACTGGTACTGAAGATGTAAATCCTTAGAAATAGACACATTTACAGTTTGACTTTTCTTTTCTTTTTAAAGGCTCCTTAGTTTTTCTAAAACAGCAGGGCACTGTAGTTTTTGGTGACTAAAACATTTTTTTTCTTGAAGACTATTTTCAGTTGCAGATTTATAATCCAAAGGAACTACAGTGCTGTGTTTCTGGTAATGAAGGAACATGTCACCCAGTGTAACACTGTGGCTCGCTGATGTGATTGGGGACAATAATGGAGCTCTATGGCACAGAGGAATAAGATATATCAGACCTTGGATTTGGGATTTATTGACAATAATAAAAATAGAGAATATGTCCAGCCTCATCCTTTAAACATGATTGTGGGAAATTCTTTCATACTTTTTGCCATCACTTCTGTAAGTTAAGTTAGTTTAGAACCACAGAAGACTTGATATAAACGTTCACAGGAATTCCACTTTAATGCATAATGTTGGCTATAAATGTACTGTAAATTAATACTCTATAGGACACTGTCTTGTTTAAAATTCTTATACTGAATAACTGAATGTTGTGTTAAGCAATTGTTGAACTACTCTATTGTTTGAAAATGTTTATATATGGAAACAAATAAAACCGAGGCAGGCCTCAATCTGATGTTTACATTGAATCATTTTAGGACTATCTGCATTTAGTCAAAGGAAAATACATAAGATATTTTCAGATCTAGAAAGAAAACCTTGAAACAAGTCTTTTATTTTGATTGGATAAACATTGCCAGCTGTGATGCAGGGCTGTAATGTTGGTGCCTATCCTGCCAGGCAGGAGCTTTGCTGTTATCTGCATGCGCCTGAGGCACAGCTAATGTAAAAAGATCCTCCTCACTCTGCTCTGCTCTGCTCGCAGTGATCTCTGCAGGCTTATCCTGCTCAGTCCCTCTCCGTTTCACCTCTCGGTCACAGCCAAGTGACTCTCAGCTGTGCACCACCTCAACTCAGGCCTTTCTATGGACAGAATAGAAGAAGTTCAGCGGTATCTCACACTGCTGTATCTGTTAAATGCCACAACAACAGGACTGCAGAGGCTTCCCAGTGTCCCCATGCCTGTATGGTTCCGGGGGCTTAATGTGTGCGTGTGGGGCCAGATGGACACTTTCATGAGTGTATGAGTGTGGATTATTCTGCCGGCTACATCTGGGGCTCCACATGGTACAGCAGACTGCGGTAAGAGAGGCAGGTGGGCACGTGGGGAGGGCACCTCTCCAGTGGGCTCTCTTACATCTATACCCACCGACAGGGCATTGCCGCAAATGGCAGACTGAAAGGTTACTATCCTGCAAGACAAATGCTTCTCTGAATCCTAGCAAACATGGCGTCCTCTTCTGTCCTTAACTTCCTGACTGACAGCAACAGCTTACTGTTTCCAGGTGTCAGATGTGACTATCGTGTTATAAACCTACCCTTTGTTTAGCATGTGCTTATGTTCGTAGCATTTTTTGCACACATACACACATTGGGAACAGTTTGGGGTGCCGTGTCTTGCTCAAGGACACTTTTTAATGTGAACAAGAGGAGCTGGGGATTGGGCCGACAGTCCTATGATTAATGGCCTACCACCTGAGCTACAGCTGCCCATAATATGAACATGCCCCCACCATCAGCATATTACCACATTATGTTCTGATTCATTGTTGTCACTGTTCATCACTGGGTCAAACAAGCAGATCATATGACAATGTAGCAGGCAGACAATAGAAAACACAATGAGAAAAGACTAGCACTGAAGCAATTAGTCAATTAATCGTTCGGTCATTCAACAGAACATGAATCCACAGCAATTTAATAATTAATGAATAATTTAAAGCAGTATTCATGGATATTGTTGGCTGCCTGTAAACACAACACTGGCACCTTATATAGCCTAGCTGATGGGGCGAACGTGTTACCAAAGGTTGCCTGTTTACTCATCACCATTGTTAATATAAGAATGGGACATTGTGATGAACAGTTGTTTATTATTTTCTGACATATTACAGCCTAAGCAACAAACCAATAAATCAAAGTGAGAAATAAATGGCATTTTTTTTGTGACTGCATACAATTAAAGCCACTCCATGTTTAAGTTAATGTGAGATAGCAGTAATAGGAGATGTTCAGTTTGCCTTAACAGTAACTTAATGCAGCTTTAATATGTTGTTAGGCAAGGAGAGAACAGTAAACGGTGACGATGGTATCAGGGAGATACAGTTACAAACAGTGGATTACATGCTGAATCATTTCTTGTGAATCCCATGTGCTTAAGTAGACAATCTCAATAAAGTATGGGGATGGTGGACTCCGCCACTAGCTGTGAAGTTTACTGTATAATTACTGAATGTAAATGAACTGAATGGATTTTGCTGAAAAAATTAGACAATAAATAGCATCAAGAACAGGGTTTGATTTTATGAAAACCTTAAGGATTATAACTTTAAAGGTGGAGGATCTATTGGCAGACATGGAATATAATATTCATAGGTATATTTTCATTAGTGTATAATCAGCTGAATATAGAATTCATTGGTTTCATTACCTTGATGATCCATTTTAATGTACAGATGCCTCCAGTTGCCTTCCATGGAGTCCACCATGTTTAAACAGTAGGCCAGAATGAACAAATGAACGCTGGCTGTATATAGGGCCTTTTTCATTTTTTGTAAGCTTTGCGGCCATAGTTTCTCTACACACTTGACAGCCTGTTCTCATTCCCAGGTTGTCAAATACATATGCCAGTGGTGTTCTGTTAGTTCTGAAACTTAACCGCTAGATGCCACTAAATCCCACACACTGGTCCTTTAAGTGATTATTAGTTTCCTATACCCTTACACTGACCACCCATTGCCTTTGAAGGTGTGAAGAGCAGGATGAAATTGCTTTTCAGGCAGAAATGAGGATTTTTGACATTTGCATATAATTGAAATAATTTCATTCAGTTCAGTAATGAGCAGACCATCTCTACACCCACATTATGACACTGATAAAGTATGTTTTAGAGTCAAAAATGTGCAATGTGTATCTATAAAGTACAAAGTTTGTATGTAAAATGCATGTATTGTCAAAATGAAAAACTAAAATAATTCCATTTCTAAATTAGATTTTGTATTGAGCTTCCTCACACGACTCAACTTATTAATGCAACACACTCATATTAGATTGAACTCAAGCCAAGGCCTTTGTGAAATCAGAGCTCATTAGACGAGTCCACCTCATAATGAGTGGCCAGATCCATCAGGAGAGATAAATCTCCTGCTCTGCACTGACTAAGATCCAGTTGAACACACCCACAGTGCTTCAGACCACATGTGAACAAGATATTTACTTTGAAGCACCAACACACAGATTTGAATCAGCGTGTCAGAGTGCCAAATGTCCTAGGTTGTGAGTGACAGGGGATCTGCTTTAGAGTTGGCTACCTGTTGAGGAGGATTAAACGAAATACAGATGGTGTTTACATATTAAACAAACAAAGGCAATCTCTGTTCTGATGATGGCAAAAAAGGCTTTCATCAAGACAGGCCGTAGTTAAAAGTGGAAAATAGCAGATTATCTGCGATTCATCAGTTCTCTACCATTACATAAATCACCACAGTTTTGATCAAGAGTTTTCTCTCCTCCAAGTGTTCCCTATGAATGAAATCAGAGTCCCTTGGTGCAGATAGGAAGTCATGAATGATGTTTTTCTGGCCTGTGATACAATCGCATATGACCCTGACATCACCTCTGAAGGACGAAGGCTGCCGAGTGTCCGGCCATGTATTCTGGCCGTCGACACAACAGGAGCGCGGTCTGATCCATTCGGTTCGAGTTGAATAAATTAAATGAATTACCAGCTGCCTTGTGCAAGCTCGCCGGATGCAGGGTGGCATGAGCACACCATTACAACAATGATAAGGATATCTGCATGGCCTTGTGTTAAAGGAATTACACATAGCATCTAGAGTCTTTAAGAGAGTCTGACAGTTTTGCGCACACTGGCAAGTTAGTATGACATGAAAATGTGTGTGGCTGCAGAGCGGCTCGGCTGCTGCTTGGCCTGAGCGGAGTCGGGGGCACTCAGTGGTTGGCTTGCTGAGAAGTCCAAAAAAAAGAGGAGTGTGGAGTCTTATTGTGATGCAAATGGACACGGTATTGTGCTTAAACAATGCATTAATACGTCCCCTTTTGAGCAGATAACATCACAAGACGCACAATAACACAAAATGATGTCCTCTGAGGTTATTTAAAGCGATATGACATCAAATCCTGACACTGCAAGAAGTGCTTACTGCCTGTCCAACTGGTTTTGTCTCCAGCTTTGATAAAAACAGATGAAGGATAGAAGACTGCTTTTGAATCCTAGCCACTATATGGGAAAGTCTATTTACATAATATTATGTATATTGTATTCCGCTCCATTCTAATGTTTGAATGTATAACGGAATTTAAGTCTTTATGCGCCAACACAGGAGGAAGTGTTGTAGCTTAAACGCAAGACACGTGGCAAGGTGTCCGATAACTTTGTCTTCTACCTGTAATCTGATGCTGCGCAGAACGGAGGGATCGGCCTCACTTCCCCGGGGTGATTTATGATTGAGGACATGTTAATAAAAATATCAAAACAATCTGAGCTCTGGTGGGGAAGATACCGGTCCGCTACGTACATCATGCTCGACAGGCCTGTGCAAGGAACGGCCTGCTCGGTGATATTATGCTCGTATGGATGCCCCGTTGCCCTGCTCTTGAATAGAATATGCAGCTGTTGTTTGTTTTTGGGAGGGTCGGTGGGGGTAGCACTACTCACACAAGGTGACATTTGCGTGAACATGTGTTCCTCCTTGGCTGATAGGTGAACCATCTTGAAATCATGGTCCCAAAGGAGCCAGGGATGGTTTTCCTTCCTTGAAATCCGTATGAGTTAAACGTCTGTTTAATTTGGACATGAATTGTTATATTATACCCAGTGGAACATGCTGCTGTTACTGAATAAACACCCCTTCGAAATCTGCTCTCACTATAGTATGCATATCTGAACTCACTGGAGACACATTCCAAATAGTTCATTAAATGCCTGGATAAAAAAATGTAGTGCTGAGTTCACCTCTCGCACTGATATTTTTTTTCTCCCTCTTGCTTTTGATGGATTTATATGGAGTTTGGGCGTGGACGCAGAGTAATTTAGTATGTGTTAAAAGCCACTGCTGGGATGTAGCCTGTTATACTCAATTCCACTTCCAATATCACTGTTCCTGAAATCTCAGTGATTTTCTTGTCTTGCCGAACACAAAATCATCACAAAGTACGCTGTCAAAAAGGAAATGTTCTGAAACATGGGATCCACTCCAAACATACCTTGATTCTGCTGTCAGGGAGCACACAGTGTACTGATGTTGTCAAAGTGTTACACTGATGTTCTGTGAAAAACTACTTTATATTTCAGTGGCTTTCTGTGAGTGATTCAAACTAAATGCTGTTGTCAGGTGCTTTTAATACAGAAAAATGTTTATTTCAGCAACCTCGCTGTGCACTTTCTCTATGTATGCTTATCCTTAAATATACATAAATATATAGCATGTCTTCTTACACAAACAACTCTGCTGCTGCTTGCCTGTTGATAATTCTTATCTGTAAGTCTTTCTTAAA